CATTAGGTTGCCTAGTGCATAAGTGTTGTGCTGCCTATGTAAGTCTAAGTAATACCTTTTGCAACATAACTTTAAATTTATAAGTTTAAAACTAAAAATACATAAATATTGACAGATTTAACGAATTAACTAATGAAATAATTTTTTTTAAAAAAGTGTCTTTTTCATAATTCAAGAAAAAAAAATACAAAAATAGTTTAGAGACTAAAAATATTAAAAATTGAAAGTTTATGGACTAAAATTGGTATTTAATCTTTTTATTTTCACTTTCTTGGGTCAGTTGGGCTTTGATTTATTGGACCCAAGGCCCAAATTAAGCATTGTCTTGTCTTCTTTACCAGTACGACGGCTACCGAAGTTTAACTGTCAAAAACAGTTCGATTTTCCGATTGTCACCATCGTCTTCTCCGTCTCTGTTCCGTCAGAACGAAACCCAAAAGCAAAATCCTGGAAAACCTGAATTCAATTCAGAATTCTCCAGTCAGAACCCATGACCCGATTTCATCATCTGAATTCTTGACGAGAAATCTAAGCAAAACTCTTTCGGGTATTTTTTTTTTTTTTACTGAATGGACATCCTCTTCGCTCAGATCCAGGCGGACCTCCACTCTAATGATGCCCTGCGCCAGTCAAGCGCCCTGTTGCTAGCTCTCCAGCAATCCGCTGCCGGTCGTGACATTTCCGTTATTGCTAAGTCCGCTGTTGAGGAGATCGTTGCTGCTCCGGCTTCTGCCGTCTGTAAAAAGCTCGCCTTTGACCTTATCCGCTCCACACGGCTCACTGCTGACCTCTGGGAGTCTGTCTCCACCGGTATCCGTTCCGACCTTCGCTTTCCTGATCCCGATGTAACCGCCGCCGCGCTCTCTATCCTTGCTGCAATCCCGTCCTACGCACTTGCCAAGCTTATTTCTGAGTGTAATGCTGAGATCTCTGCATGCTTTGACTCCCCTAGCGATAACCTTCGGTTTTCCATCACTGAAACTCTCGGCTGCATTCTCGCCCGTGATGACCTCGTCACGCTCTGTGAGAATAATGTAAGCATCCTTGATAAGGTCTCCGCGTGGTGGTTTCGCATTGCCAACAACATGCTGGATAAGTCGGACAATGTCTCGAAAGTCGCCTTTGAGTCAATAGGAAGATTGTTCCAAGAATTTGATTCCAAGAGAATGAGCCGATTAGCAGGCGATAAGCTTGTAGACAGCGAGAATTCTCTCGCGATTCGGTCGAATTGGGTCTCCTCTATGGTGGATTTTGTGTGGAAGAAGAGGAGTGCATTGATGGCAAGGTCATTGATCCTTCCGGTGGAGACCTTTCGTGCCACTGTGTTTCCGCTGGTGTATGCAGTTAAGGCTGTGGCCTCCGGTAGGGTGGAGGTGATCAAGAAGCTTTCAAAATCTTCCAAAGAAAATGGGGGCGTGGATTCAACTGCAGAGAAGCTGGTTGGAGTTTCAGATTTGGTGACGCATTTGGCACCGTTCCTGGCTTCTTCTTTGGATCCGGCATTGATTTTTGACGTGGGGATTAATATGTTGTACTTGGCTGATGTGCCCGGAGGGAAGCCAGAGTGGGCTTCAGAGTCAATTATAGCCATTTTGACGCTTTGGGATAGGCAGGAATTCGCTTCTGCTAGAGAGGGTATTGTTAGGGCTGTTGTCACCAACCTTCATTTACTTGATCTTCATATGCAGGTTTGTTTGATCTTATTCTTAGCTTGTATTTTTATCAAGTTTTTGTAAAATTCTGCTATGGTTTGTAAGCAAAACTGGGAAGTTACCTAAGTTTTAATATGCTTTTGGGTAGAAATTCCAATATTGACAAGTAATGTGTTAATTTATACGAGGCAGGGCTTTCTGTCATTGAGGTATGCTTTTCAAACTATAGCTACATTTGGATCTTCTTGAGCTAGACACTAGACATCCATCCATGAAAGTTCTTGCGCAAAAGAAAGATGCATTCTGGTTGCATCTGCATATTCTGCTTTTTGAAGAGTATTTATTAGATGAGCTGAACATTTTGCTGTATACTTGGATATTTCTATTTTTATCCTTGTGTTGTTGCAAGTGGTTCTTGTATTCTCTGCTTTGTGGCACTTTAGATTTTGGAAATGGCTCTCAATATGAATGCTTTTTTTTAGCTTTGTGATTGTCCAGTTTTTGGTGGTTTTATAAAGACGTGAAAGAACTGATACTTGTTGGAAGCCATTGGCATGTCCTTGTAGTTTATTTTTTTGAGTGAATCTGAAATTTATAGTTTGGACATGACCTACTGTGCTACTACTTCTGTTTGAAGGTTTCATTGTTTAAGAGACTGCTTGTTATGGTGAGAAACCTGAGAGCTGAATCAGACCGCATGCATGCCTTAGCCTGTATCTGTCGGACAGCATTATGTGTTGACCTATTTGCGAAAGAAAGTGTCCGAAGAGGTCAGAAGCCTCTAGCAGGAACTGACATTGCTTCTCTATTCGAGGATGCAAGGATAAGAGATGATCTGAATAGTGTTTCAAGTAAAAGCTTGTTTAGGGAGGAGTTGGTTGCAACTCTTGTAGAAAGTTGCTTCCAGTTGTCTCTACCTTTGCCTGAACAAAAGAACTCAGGTATGGAGAGCAGGGTGATAGGAGCCTTGACATATGGAACAGGTTATGGTGCACTAAATTGGACAGAGCCAGCTTTGGAAGTGGTTGAAGTTTGCAGGCCCTGTGTCAAATGGGATTGTGATGGCAGGACTTATGCAATTGATTGCTATTTGAAGCTACTTGTTAGGCTCTGCCATATTTATGATACTAGGGGAGGTGTAAAAAAAGTTAAAGATGGGGCTTCTCAAGATCAAATCTTAAATGAGACAAGGTTGCAGAACTTGCAAAGGAACCTTGTAAAAGATCTTCGTGAGGTATGCAAGCTCTTATAGTAAAAGATACATACTTGATACTACCCTTTGTCTACCTTGTCAGCAACTGAGCATGGAATTTTAATCACTAAGGATACTTCCCCACATTGTTTCTTAATTTTTGTGTTGCATCCTTTTTTTAATTATTATTTTTATCTTTGACCTATAAAACTTTTGCATGTCTATTATGTTCAAGAAAGTTACAATGTCATGTCATTGAAGAACTTTTAGATTGAAAATTTGTGCTTCATTTTTTGATGATCAAAGAAAATGTTAAGGATAAAATATGTCATGGAGCCATGGGGTTTTGCCTTGGCATGATTTTAAACTAAGGCTAAATACTAGATGAGCTGGGTGGGTTTTTGCTAAAGTTGTTCATATGTTTACTCCCTTTGATCCTTAATTTATTGTCCATTTGGCAGGTGAATACCCCAAGAATATGTGCCCGTCTTATTTGGGCAATTTCAGAACAGATAGATATAGAAGGTCTTGATCCACTTCTTGCTGATGACCCTGAGGATCCTCTAAATATTATTGTGTCAAATATTCACAAAGTTCTCTTCAACATAGATTCATCTGCAAATACAACAAATAGGCTTCAAGATGTTCAGGCGGTTCTTCTATGTGCTCAGCGACTGGGCTCGCGTCACCCTAGGGCTGGGCAGTTACTAACAAAGGAGCTTGAAGAGTTCAGAAACAGTACATTGGCCGATTCTGTTAACAAGCATCAGTCCCGTTTTATATTACAGAGAATTAAGTATGTTTCCAGTCATCCTGATAACAGGCAAGTATCCTATAAAGAGCTCTAAGAATGAGCATGCATGAGTCTATGGTTTTTATATTGTCACACCACAGTTAGCTTTAGTCATAGCTTTTCATGTTCTGAGTACCAAAGTGTCAGTATTAATTATGTTTCTTACTTCATGGCGTCCAATGGTTATTAATTAGAGACAGTCTTACCTTTGTAAGTTCTTTGCATTGACATGTAGTAGCCTGCAAATATGGTGAACATCAATAGACATAGGTTATCAACATCTAGAGGATTCCTAAGCCCCCTGTTGCAGAAAATGGTTAATCAGGGACACCTTCCTTAAGAGATCTTCCCAAAGAGTGACATAGAAAAAGAAGACTCGGCATTTTATGCAGAAAAGTGAGTTTTAGCTTCTTTTTTTCATTTATCAGATGGGCTGGGGTTAGTGAAGCGAGAGGAGATTACCCATTTAGCCATCACAAACTTACTGTACAGTTTTATGAAGCATCCGCTGCTCAAGATAGAAAATTGGAAGGATTAGTTCACAAAGCTATTTTAGAGCTATGGAGGCCAGACCCAAGTGAATTAAACCTTTTACTGACGAAGGGCATTGACTCTACATCCCACAAGGTTGCTCCAGTTCCACATACTTTGACTGGTAGCAGTGATCCTTGCTATGTTGAGGCTTACCATTTGTCTGATGCCGGGGATGGAAGAATCACTCTGCATCTTAAGGTTAAAATTTTTTTCCTTACATTATTATTAATTCTCATGCCAGTTAAACTCATTTTTTCTTGTTGCAGTTCTAGTTGCTATAGCCAGGTCAAATAGTTCTTTAAATATTATCATTATTACTCAGTGTCTCTCTTTAAGCTGTCATTTATATATGGTGGTGCTGTATTGGTTATCATGGTTGGTGAACTGTTAAGTTGCTGATCATATTTAATGCTCATTGTGGGTCTGTTTGCAGGTTTTAAATCTGACTGAACTAGAATTAAAACGGGTGGATATTCGGGTTGGGTTATCTGGTTCCTTATATTTTATGAATGGGTCTCCTCAAGCCGTTTGGCAGTTGCGTAATCTTGTTTCTCAGGTTTTCTTTCTCATCTTTGACTTTGTTTTTCCATCACTCTGTAGGGCACTTCTATCTGTCCTAATTACTTGACTGTCTTGTTCTCAGGATCCTGTTCTCTGCAGTGTGACAGTCGGTGTCTCCCATTTTGAAAGATGTGGCTTTTGGGTTCAGGTATTGTACTACCCATTCTATGGTAGTGGTGCTGTAGGAGATTATGAAGGTGATTATGCTGAAGAGGATCCTCAAATCATGAGACAAAAGAGGAGCTTAAGGCCAGAACTTGGAGAACCTGTGATTTTGAGATGCCAGCCCTACAAAATTCCGCTCACTGATCTTCTTTTGCCCCATAAAATTTCACCAGTTGAATTTTTCCGTCTTTGGCCCAGTTTACCAGCTATTGTAGAGCATACTGGTACATATATCTATGAAGGAAGTGGCTTTAAGGCTACTGCTGCACAGCAATATGGGTCTTCTCCTTTCCTGAGTGGACTGAAATCATTGTCTCTCAAGCCTTTTCACAGGGTTTGTTCACACATCATCAGAACAGTAGCTGGATTTCAGGTAGGTTTAACATCTTACATCATGCATATTCATGTTCACCCAATTTATAGGCTCTTCACCCCTCTTCTTCAAATAACTAGAAAATTTTATCTTTCAAATATTCTCTTGGTTAAACTGAAAAACTAGACAGAAATATTTGAAATTCCAGGGAAATTGGTGAATACAGATGAAATCCAAATTGGATGATTTGTCTATCTAGTTAGGAATCTTATGTGGTTGAAATTTGCTCAGCAATATTCTTTTGAGGGTAATACTACTTATTCTTGAAGGTTCCTGATGAAATGACCATTAATCTTCTTCTTGGACAGCTTTGTTATGCTGCAAAAACTTGGCATGGGGGCTTCTTGGGCATGATGATTTTTGGATCCAGTGAAGTGAGCAGAAACGTGGATCTGGGTGACGAAACAACAACAATGATTTGCAAATTTGTAGTTCGAGCTTCTGATGCATCAATTACAAAACAGATTGAATCAGATCCACAAGGCTGGTTGGATGACCTGACTGATGGGTGTGTAGAATACATGCCCGAAGATGAAGTGAAGGTGGCTGCTGCTGAGAGGCTTAGAATTTCAATGGAGCGGATAGCCTTGTTGAAGGCTGCCCAGCCACGGCCAAAAACTCCAAAATCTGATGATGAAGAGGATGAAGAGAAAGAAGAGGAAGACGAAGAGAAGAAAAAGGAGAAGGAAAACGACGAAAAAGATAAACCTAAGGGACCTACCACCCTCTCCAAGATAACAGCTGAGGAAGCTGAACACCGTGCTCTTCAAGCAGCTGTGCTCCAGGAGTGGCACATGCTATGTAAAGATAGGAAAGGTTAATTAACGCCTATCTTCCCTTTATTTTTAAATGAAGGAGCACCATAAATATTATTTCTACTGTATTTTGTTTAGAAATGCCTTAGGTAGGTGTTGACAAATTTGATTAGAGTCTCCTTTTTTTCTTTTGTTTTCCTTCTTCTCCATCTGCTCCATTCCACGATTGGGTATTCCTTGTACATCTTGTACCGGCTTTTCTGTTCATTATGAGATACTAGTTTCTTTGTGGAACAAATATAGTTTAGTGTGAGAGGAGGTTAGCATGTACAATACATAGTGGTACTTAAAGAGAGAAATATAAGATTGTCCACCATGAAACTTGATTCTATTTCATAGATGCATCAACCAACAACAGCAGCTCTGGTGGAATTCATGGGTGCACTTGTACCAATCAACTTTTAGGATATGCTAGCCAAAATATAAACACTTGAAAGAAATACGAGGGGAAAAACGGCCTTGATGCTTTGTACATATCAAACATGCTCTTAACAATTCACAACTGAATTGGGTTCTTGTCATATGTATCAACCTAACGTAGGAGAAAAAACAGAAAAATTTCAAATTATCTACTCCATCTCTTCCAACAGCATGGGGGTGATAGAGCTAATCCTGTATATCAAGTGTCTCTCTCATCATTTTAGTTTAAAAGCTTTGGCAAATCTAGCGAGGAAGTTCATGTATTGAACTTCTGGGGAACGCTATCAAAATCATCAAAGTCAAACCTCTGACGTTCTCGCCCAGCCTGAAGATAAAAGCTATTATCAAGTTACTCATCAATGGTTAACAAACTAGTTCTTTGCCAAACAGAGATGGCATGCTTACCTTTGTTAAGTACAAGGGATCGCAGGACATGAGTTCATCCATACCCATCAGCTTCTTTGACAGTGACATTATCCTGAAACAATACACAGAAAAGCCATTACTTGTGCTTTTATTTAAGATTAAGCCAACCAATGTTTCTAATTGAAAATATCAATTAATTACTTGCCATCATAACCAAATATTTTGATCAACCTACTCTATGATCATTTTTACCACATTAACCAACTCTAATTTGCATACCTCTGGATTGATGAATCAATGCGCTCAATCATCTGACATGTCTTGTACTGTTCAGGATCCTCAAGGAATCTAACCATTCCATCCTTCTGGTTGATTGTTGCATATATCTCACCATCTTGAATCTGAAATTTGTCGTAAAAACATCAACATACAGAAGTTCAAACTTAGAGAAGTGGCTCTGAGAATCCTAGATTACCATTTGGAGAACATGCATCTCTGCTTCCTTAGGGCTGTTTAGTTGTACTGTATTGGCTATGTCTTGGAGAGAAAGAGTCAGATATGTCTGAGTCAATCTCTGGATATTTTGCTTATACATGGATGACACAACCTGCTTCACTAGACCAAGATTACTGTCCTGGAAAAATCCAACGCCCTTTTTTAGATGGTCAATTGAATAGAGCAGAAGAAGAATAGGAGCAAATATGATTAAGCACTCACACTTTCAAATTTGTCCCTGTTTGCCTGTACATATACTTCTAATTCTGTGATTTTGCCATTGACGTAACAATTTGCCAGTTCAACATATGGCTGCTTGAAAAGCAACAGTACCAAGTTAATCGACACAATTAGGAAAAAGATCATCAAATATTACCATGCACAAAAAGGAAATACTGATATGTAGGTTCTTTTTTCTCTTGTAGATACAAGACCGAAAAAACTAAAGCAAGAATGTGAGTTTTGCGCTGCTCATCAGGATTCAGATTCTACAGATGCGAAGGCTGGACCAATCTTTAATAGCAATTGAACATTTTGTCATTTGAAGTTTGATTATGACAAGGATCCAACATTTCCGTAATCATAGTAAACAGCAATACCACAAACACATTTTTGTTAATGGAACTTTCAAATAGCATATGCCTAGTTATTAACTATACAGAAAAATCATCTTCAATGATTTTATCTTCTGTAATCTTATGCATGGATTTAATACTCTAACATATGCCTATTTTTGCCTAGTCAAATAAAAGAAGAAATTAGTGGAGCTCAAGAAAATTTAATCAAGCCAAAACTTGCAACGAAGGAGTCCTACAATTGATATTTACCTGACAGAAATTCTTCAAATTTCTCTGCGCTGTTGAAGAAGCATACTTTGGGAGACTAGTAGAGAACTGCCAGCAGAATTAAGAACCATCACTCTATAGGTAATGTAAGAGAAATCAACTGAGGAGAGAGCAGAAAACTTTCAAATTCTGGATTTAAGTTGCTTATATATTCTCTAATTACATTCTCTAATTACATCCTCCACTAAGTGTCAAAGAACATAGCATACTTGTCCATTGTGAATAAGTGAGACCAATATGTATTTTTTGTAAGCCTCAACAGCTATGGCATTGATTGTAGACATTGGAGCAGTCACAACCTGGATGAGAAACAAAAAGACAACAAGCAATCAAGACTATTGTCAGTCAGGGACATTTATAAACAAAAATCAATGACTGCACTATAAATATACTACACACATTGTGTAGAAGCTCTAGTGCTTTTTGAAAACACTTATGTCCGATGCATATCATTCCCCTGTTAAAGTGTCAAATGTGAAAAAACAGTCAGTAAAATTTCTTCAAAGTACATGAACCAGTTAAAGACTTGAAGCAGGAGTATACGGCAGCCTTTGAGATAAGCAAACACCAAAAAGGACACTAGTACGTAAACATTGACCAATATTGATATGCCATTAAGCAGATGACAAGTTTTGTTGCCTAAGCATAGAGTTCACCCTTAAAAATTAAGAAACCAAGCATGAAACAAGAATGGCTACAAAGAAGATGATTGTTGAGGGAAAGAAGTGTCAGAGAAAATTCAAAGGGTTCCAAGATTCTATGCATCTCATCACTATCAGAAAGATATACAACAGAGCAGCAGGGGCAGCAGCTCACCCATAATAACAATAGAGAAAAATATCCCTTGGCTGATCAACCTCAAAAATGGAATCCTCCAAAATTGAAAGACCAGTTTTGTAGGACTTAGCCAACAAACAAAGTAAAAGAAATTCAGGATGTAAAGTTGTCAAGTGTTCAGTGGAAGACTGAAGCTTCCTAATTGCAGTCAGCATTGGAGCCACCCCACGCAAGGGTGCCCCAAGCAACAAAACTTGATCCTTGAACCTCTTACAAACAGCGATGACTGCAAATGGTAAGAACATCAGACTTCATGAAGTGAAAAAAAATTGATCAGTTCAAAATCAGTAAGAATCTTAGTTTGAAGTAAAGATTCATACACTTATCAGGAGCCAAACGAATCTGCTCGGCAGCACAAGAACTGATAAATCTGGCAATCATTAAGGCAAGAACACTAGCCTGCTCGTTTGTTACTGGTACTGGGCCTGATGTGCAAGCCTCTCTGAAAACCATCAATTCATACGTGATTACACAAAGTAAACTTCCATCAACAGAACAAATGCAGACAATTCAAAACACCCATTGTTGATTTAACCTCAAAAATAACTATCTTTCCATTTATTTCTCATTTAATCCAACTAAATAGCTCTTCCCAGATTTTATTTGGGTAACATTCATTGCATTTAAAATTTCATCATCAGGAACACAGGAAATTTAGAATCCTACTAAACCAAACAAAATGAAACTACTACGTTGCAATCAACAATATGAATACAGGTACAAACAAAAACAAAATTCGTTTCTACTTGCTACTTTCTTTCTCCCTGCACTGCCCTGGCCTTATTACAATTGCTATCTACCTCGTTAAGCAAACCCAAGAACGCAGTCAATTCCTCAATCTATTTTCAGAAGGTAAAAGAAATAAATAACTTACAAGAAATAGAGATAGCCCAGAGAATGCTTGGATGGGTCAAGCTGGTCGAGAAAAGGCAACAACCCAGTTGACTCAGCGTGGAGCACCTCATCGACTTGCTTCAAGTAATTGTGAAGTGCTGATACATCGGAAACACTGCTTGACAGCCCCTGGATTTGGGCAACCACAGATTCCACCTGGTCCATATTCCCCCCTCGCTTAGGTTTCCGATGGATTCACAGATACCACACCAGAGCAGAGCAACAAAGTCCGTAACTTTAAAAACAACAGGCATTCCTGACTCGTTTGAGTTAACTCAGTATTCCGATGAGCTAACTCGGCCGGGTTGATTGTTGGGCCCAAGTATCTTGGTCTAGTCGGCGGCCCACTAAATTTCACCGATTCCCCTTTTTTCTCCGTTTCTGAACAAACGGGGAAGGAATAGAAAGAGCTCTTTTCTGGTTTTCCTGGTTCAACAATGGCGGATTATCACTTTGTCTACAAGGATGTGGAAGGAGCGTCGACACAGTGGGATGATATACAGAGGAAGCTGGGGAATTTGCCCCCGAAGCCACCTGCATTCAAGCCTCCTTCTTTCGAGCCCGCACCCGACCCGGACTCCGCACCGAAGGACAAGCCCTGGATCGACCAGAAGACTGAAGAAGAATTGGAAGAGCTCGAGGATGATCTTGACGACGATCGCTTCCTCGAAGAATACAGGTATAGCTTAAACTACTCCACATCCTGTTTCTCAAGTCTAAGATCGGATTCAAGTTTAAAGCACCATTTTTTTTTTTACTGTATCCCTTGATTTGAATGGTGTCAATTGAAAGGAAGAAGAGATTGGCAGAGATGAGAGAAACAGCTAATATTAGGAAGTATGGATCAGTGATTCCAATTTCAGGATCAGATTTTGTGCGGGAGGTTTCTCAAGCTCCCCCCGAAGTATGGGTGGTTGTCATTCTCTACAAAGAAGGGTATTTCACTGATATCTGTTACATATTTTTATGACAATTTTCATCAAACCAATCCTGGTGTGCTTGTTATGCTGATTCTTGTTTCATTTTCTTTTGCAATTAGATTTCCAGAGTGTAGACTTCTGTTGCAGTGTCTTGAAGAACTGGCATCAAGATACCCTGTAACCAAGTTTGTCAAGATAATATCTACAGATTGTATTCCTAACTACCCTGATCGTAATCTTCCAACTCTCTTGGTGTATAACAATGGCGCAGTAAAAGCTAATTATGTGGGATTGAACAGTTTTGGCCGGAGGTGCACACCTGAAGGTATGTTGTAGATGATATATATGCATCAACCTATGCAGCATATAATCTTTGTAGTAGCAACAGGTTGATAAGTTTCTTATTGGGAGATGAACTCTGAATCCAAGTTCTAAACTTGGAGTGATAGCATGAATTTGGTATGTGAGGATTTGATTGTTACTGAAACATTCTTTTGCAGAAAGTAGTTCTGTAGCTCTAATTTTCATTTAAATTAACTTGTGAAGCCGCTTTTCTTACACATTATAACTTGGTAAAATCTGGTCTTTGCAAATTAGGTGTGGCCTTAGTTCTCTGTGGATCAGATCCTGTACTAAACGATGGTCAAAGCGGAAACAATCCATCGAAAGAGGCTGTGATTGAAGGAGTTAGAAAGAAATTTATAGAGAAAGTTGTGACACAGCATGAAGAAGATGATGATGATGATGGATCATCAAGTGATTAGAAAAGCTTGGTAGTGTAGCTTGTTCTTTTCAATGGGAATGAAAAATTAGTATTGAGGAATGATAATTTTGTTTTTCAGTTTGCTTTTGCTGCTTATTTGTTTTGACTCTTTAAAGCTTGTTCATCATCATCATCATCATCATCATCTGTTGAACCCAAATTTCCAATGTTTGTCAATGTATAATGTATTCATATTAAGATTTAATTTTGATACAAAAGTTCTTTGTCAATCCAACATGGACAGTTCACAATTGGATTGGCAGTTTTTGAAACAGACTAGCGGGAGGTTCTTGGTGGATGTTCAGTGAGAAGGGGCTGCTGGAGAACTGAGGAACAACCGGATTGGAAGGAAACAGACACAAGATTTCCAAGCTTGGTTTTATGGCTTAAGGCCCTTTTCTCTTAGGTTTGTTTCAAATGGACTTCTCTGAGCACAAACATCCATTGCACCATTTTGATTTGAGTTTGAGATAATCCTAATTGTGTTTTGATTAGGTCTCAATATTTCTTTTATCTCAAACCCATCCTCGTTAACAATTTTATTTTCTTTTCACTGTAGAGTCCTTAGATATCATTTTTGGATTAAATAAAATTAATGAGAAAAGTCTAACACAAATCATTGAAAAACAATACGTTAAGATGTGGATTTTATTTCATAAAATCAAATACAATAACCATTTGTTAAAATACAGAAAATCATTAAAAAAAATGGAACTTATTTACAATTAAGCCACCTATGAATCAAAATCCATCGGCCGAATCCACAGGATGCACGGGCTGGGCCTGCTGCATCAAAAAAGAAAAAGGTCAGCACAAGTGTAATACCATTTGGGTTAGCTTACATGGCCCATTAGTCAACTAAGATTTAATGATCCAGGCCCAAGAGATCAATACAAGGCCCCCGTAGAGATCTCTACTCCTTATAACAATCTACTAACTTTAACACCATGCAAATCGAAAACTTTAAACGTGAAAAAGGCATTTTGCATATGGTGGCAGTACTTTTGCCATTCTTCATTGCAACATGTTTGAGAATTTAGACTTAATAAAAATTCGGTAGAGAAAAATATAACAAACAAATCAACAGGTAAAGCAAACGTGTTAATCCCGATTAAGAGCTTAATCTCCCAGCTATGATAATGGGAAGACCAATTAGTCAAATTCCCACAATAATGTGTAATTGTTTGTTGGGATTAGTACAGTTGACAATATTTCTCTTTGGCATACATACTCCCAAACTCCATAAAAAGGTATATTTTTCCGTTTCTTCATTTGAAACTTTTGTTTCTAACTCCCAACTGATTTGGGGATGCTAACAATCTCAATAATAGTGTTTCATCACACCATTAATGGTTGCTAAGAATTTTATACTTTGATTTCAAGCATCCCCATTAAGAGTTACAAACTTAAGAGTATCATTTGGTATCACTGTTAAAAAAAAAGAGGAAAAATAAAAAATAAAAAGAGAATTCGAATACTCAAAATAAAAGGGAAAAAAAAAAAAAGAAGTTAAAATTGAGAAATTAAGATTCTATTTAGAAAAGAATGGTCTCTTGATTCTGTTTGTATATAATATACTTAATTGAGTTAGTAATTATAAAGGAAGTTCCAATGAAAATGACATAAAAGTTAAAACAATTTTAAAAACCATCATAATTAATATATGTACAAGAAAGCTGGACAATATAATATTTATCTAATTCATAATTTGCTACTACTATCTTAATGCTCATTTTATTTATTTATTTATTGATACCTATAACAATAAAAGTAATTCCATCTGATATATAATTTACTATTATATAATTATTTATATTAAAAAACTATTTTTTATCATAAAATATTATCTTATGTTGTAGAGATAAATAAATTCTTCACGAAAATACTCTGAAATAAGAAAATACAATAAACCAGGAAAACATCTTTTCAACTTTCTAGTTCCCCAAATGTTGTATCAAGAAGTTGCTTGTTAATTTTTCTAAAATAAAAATATGTTTTCCTAATCATTTTC